ATGTATATATATATATACATTGATATATATTGCAGCTCTAACAGTTGACTGATGGAAACGCCAGCTGTCCCTCAGTGTTTGGACTGTAACTTGTCCTTCTTCCATTTATGAACCGTTTGAGGAAGAACTGGTCTGTGAAGCCATTTCATTGTAAATGAAAACTGTTTTTTTAGTGAACCTACCTGGAATAACAACATGTTGGTCATTCGAAAAACATAAAAAACGGTCAACTTGTTTTACTTTTGAAAAGTGTAAAGATTTAGTAAGTCAGAGATGGCAGAATAATATCTGTTAAATAGGAGGCATAGTGTGTCATTTTTGTTATTAATATTGTTTCACATTAGAATATCACTACTTTTTTGCAAGAAAATAAATGATGTTCACTTCCGGCGAGCTGATGGACGGCAGCTCCCTCCGGCTTCTCCGCAGTCTTTTATCATCAAACTGACACGTTTTTTTCGAACCGGACTAAAGTTGGTCCCCCTTCCAACCGAATTCAGTGTTCAGTGACTCAGAGAGCCGGACGGGACCGTGCAAAAATATATTTTGGTCCAGGACCGGCCGCTCCCACCCCACCGGTAACTCTGAGCGCACCCTGCCGGCCAGGTGACCCCTCGAGCTGGGGAGTCGTCGCACGAAGGTCCGGTGTTTTTTCTCTCTCTCTCTGGACCTCAACGAACTCTCATCTGGACCTTTGTGGTTCTACCTGGTTCCGACAAAAATCGCAGAGTGGTATTTTGCTGGTTTTCTGCTGGACTGGCCCTCGTGGTGTCTTCATAGGTGTGGGAGAAGTGTATCTGTGACCCTCGAACTGGATCAGAACAGAACCAAGGTGGCTGTGGGGGACTTGGACTTCGTCTTCAACAGAGCCGGTCTCAGCTTCAGTGAGCAACCCGTTACTTTTAACGAAGGACTGTCCACCTTCATGGAATCACTGTTTTCTCCTGGAGGAGACGCTCCGATGCTTTGAAGCGCCGCCGGACCGGGCCGCCGGACCGGAGCAGAACCGGGCCAGGGACATCTTCAGCCTCTTTGTCGTTCGTGCTGTGGAGCGCCAGGACCGGACTGGAGCAGAATCGGACCGGACCAGTGTCGACTTCAGCCTCAGCCTCTCCGGTCAGTCTCGTTTTTCACCGGGGGTGCCTCTCGTGCTGTCGGGTGCGGAGGTGACGTGCAGAGAAGCGGAGGAGCAGCGTGAAGGAGCAGGGCTGCGTGGTGCTCGAGAGAAGTTCGGAGTTTGTATCGGAGTTGCTCAGGCCTCCATCCAAACTCACCTGGATAATAATTAATTTTATTCCGGATCACGCTGTTGGCCCCTGTTGACCTGAAACCAGCTAGGATCATGCCTTTCACTTCAGGAGGGTTTTCGGGCAGCTCGCTCTGCTATTTGCTGTGAATTATCTGTTTCTGTTTTGGCCTGTTGGTTCTGAACCCAGTTTCTGTTTCCCATGGGAGCATCTATCCATCCATCTTCACTGGGGGGCCGGAGCTCCCCTCAACCCAACTCAAACTGCAGTTGGGCCACCTCGTCGGGTTTGTTTGCCCATTTGAACTGTGACGTTTTATGGTCTGAAACGTTTCTGCATCATTCATATTACTGTCACTATTTTCAGTTCTCAGATTATCTGGAGTCACTGAATCTTGTTAATACACCTGGATCTGCCCATCACTGTAACTTCCACTGTTTTTGGGTTCTGAATGATCACGTCTTCATTAATGTTTCTCATAGTTGGATTATGGGGGCTAATTGTCACACTGTTAACTCCTGTAATTACACATCATTCACAAAAAAAACTCAAGAAAATGTCTGATAATAATGTTGTTACTGCTCTCAGGGATTCAACCCAACCCTGGACCCCCCACTATTTATATGACACCAAATGACTTTAAAAACGTGTCAGGACTTCATTTTCTGAATGTAAACGCACGCAGCCTTCTGAGAAAACTTGATGCCTTGAAAATTCTGGTCAGTTCTTCTGGGGCAGATGTTATCTTCATCTCTGAAGCCTGGCTCAACAAATCTGTACTCAATAATGACCTGGCAATCAATGGATTTAACATCTACCGCTGTGATCGTCAAAAAAAGGGGGGGGGGGTCGCTGTTTACATCAGAGATTCTTTGGTTGCTAGTCCTGTGTCTTCTAAAACAATTCCAAACCAGTTTGAAGCCTTATCTGTAAACATCACCTTGAATGGAGACCAGATCTTAACTGTAGTCTGCTGTTACCGCCCACCTTCAGCAACACCTGAGGCTCTGTCCTCCCTGATGGAATTTTTTGGTAATTTAAAATTCAAAGAGATCTTTTGGCTGGAGACCTCAACATTGATTGGTGTAAGTCGACCCTCCTCTGTGATAAATTCAAGGAATGTTGCCTGTCTCTCAATCTTACCCAACTGATCAACTCTCCCACTAGATTAAACAAAAACCGTCCTGAAAAATCTTCCATCTTAGACCTATTTCTAACTAATATGCCTCACAAATTCCCTGGTACAGGTGTATTTGCCAATATCTTGAGTGATCATTGTGTGACAGCGGCTTTGAGAGATATTAAACTTACACCTTCTAAGCCCAGATTAATTCAAAAAAGGGATCTGAAACATTTTTGTGAACAGTCATTCCTCTGGGATCTGTCTCACTTTGACTGGCATCGTATTCTGTTAACTGATGACGTGAACTCCGCTTGGAACTATTTCCATAATAGTTTCATTTATTTTGTGAACAAACATGCTCCTTTTCATCAGTTCAGAATAAAGGGACGAGACAGCCCCTGGTTTACTCCAGAGCTAGCTGACCTCCTGCACAGGAGAGATCATCTTTGGGCCACAGCGAGAAAATCTGACTCAGACACTGATTGGTTGAGTTTTCGACAGATGAGGAATAAATGCACTACTGCCATCAAAGCAGCAAAACGCAACTATTTCTTATCTCATATCTCCAAAAATCTAAATGACCCTAACAGATTCTGGAAAACCATCAAATCTCTCTCAGGCACCCCCCAATCATCTGACCTCCCAGCACAACTTCTCGTTAACTCTGTTCCTGTGTCAAATAAGCA